AAAAAAAAAAAAAAAAGAGAGAGAGAGAAAAGAGCTTTATATCAAATGCCAATGCATATAGAAAATACATTCTCCTAAAGCCTATTATTTGTTTGCCTTTGAGCCAGGATAAGCAAAAAGCCTCCATGTAGCACAATTAGTGAAGAAAGGTGCCATGTAGGTTTGGTTTACACAGAGTCAGATATAGACTGAACATAGGCTAAAAGACTTCCAATCTGTTCTCATTTGATCTGTAATTTTTAAAGCTAATAAGTGTGCTCCACAGATAACTGTCTCCCATGCTATCTTTTTCCCTCCCAATGCAAAATGTACACATCTAGGGAAAAAAATGCCAGTTTTCACATTTTTCAGTTCAGACATAACTGATTTCACAGTCATCCAAAGTGGAAAATCAGATCTGAACATAAAAATCTGTCCATTTAACTTGCAGGATTCTTAGCTTGATGCAAGTAAAGGAACAAAAATAAGCATGTATGATCTCAACTTTTAATATAAGCACTGTTAACCTCCCTGTTAGCTTCACTAGCATGCGCTTTTTTGTGCTGTTTTACAGGCAAAAGAATATACTTTTTTTCAAAGGTACCGTCAAGTTGCTATTATTTTTTCTTATTGCCTTCTCCATTCTTTTTAATCACAAAAGCAAGACATCTGCTTTCTGTTACAGTTGCATGTATTTATTTTATTGCTTTCTGGTGGTGCAATTGCAAGCACTGCCAAGGAGCTTGGAAGCAAGAGTCCCTGAAGACACAAGTCCCTCTCCTCTTTTCCACAGAAATTGATATATTGGAGAAGAGAAAAAAAAAAGGATGAATTAGATCCAATTCTTCTGCTGCAGCTTGTAACAACTCTCCTCAAAGCTAAAGGTTAACTCTTTCTAAGTTCACAATATTATACTGTCCAAACCCGAGTCTTAAAAATCAAGGGACTTCAAGGCATATCCCACTCGGAAGAAACATTTCAGAAAATCTTACATGGCCCCTGTTCTCCATCGCTTTAGTACACCCACATCACACAGACCCCTTTCTCTTCTCGTCCACTCTTCCTTAGTGGCCCTGGCTTCACTGTTCTCTTGATCTCTGTTCCTCCAGAGCTCACAAGGCCAT